TTTCAGACATTTGTATTTAGTATTTTTTAGCAGTTCGTGAGTATTGTGACACCAGTCTTGGGTAGAGGCTTATATTAACTATTCCGCATTTTGATTCAGTTTCTATAACTAAGACTTCCGCTACTATTAAATTTCGTTATTTTGATATTGTTGCCATAAATTGATAAAAGGGACTATGTTGTAAACGAAAGGTAGTTAAATTTGGCTTGCCTAGCTTCTACGAGTAGGCGCCATCACGACTCTCGAGGGTGGGAAATCCAGGTCATGACATCGAAAGCCATCTCTCTTCTGGATCTGCTATTAAGCTTAAAGATTGGTTCTACATTTAGACATTTACCATAAAATCAGATTTCAAAAACTTTGCTTGCGGCTTTTTAAAAAAAAATTATATTCCAGAACTGTGGAATCAACATAAAAATTTGGAAAAAAAAAATTATTTTCAGAGCACTGCTGCTCTCTGTTCGCTGAGTTTGGAGGAGGCATTTGCTTGAAGTTTACGTTTTTTCAAGAATTAGCTTAAACAAACACTTTCTCCAATAATTCAAAATTAAGGGTGGTAAATATTTTTTTGCAAAACAAATAGTAATTTTATTCATTTTTCGGTGTTTGGTACGCAAATTAAGGAAAATACTCCCTCCGGTCCACAATAATTAACCAATTTTCTTTAGGCACACCAATTAAGGAAATACTAAATTCTAGACGAAAATAGTTAGTGTGACTAAACTACCCTTCATTAAATGTTGCACCGTAGTTATATTAGCACTTACTTTTCTTCTCAAATGTGAGGAGTAAATGACTTTTTAGGGATACGCATATAAGGGTAATTTTGAAAAAATAAATTGAATTTTTTCTTGATTATATAAATGGACACTTATTTTGGACCAAAATAAAAAAATAATTGGTCACTTATTGTGGACCGGAGGGAGTAACTTCTCAAGATTATTCATAAATAATTTAGATACAATAAACATGAAGCCATAAACTTTCGAACCAACAATCTTCCGAACCCACAAATTTCATAAACTTCCGAACCGCTAAACTTTCGAACCCGTAAACTTCCAAACACATAAACCTCCGAACTCACAACTTTGGAACTTGTAAAATTTCGAACCTGTAAACCGAAAGATGAAAAAACTAAGACTGAAAATATATAACAAAAAAAAATAAAAAATTC